CTTCCAAACTCAGTAAGTGTGTTAAGTTTTTATCACTATAACTAAAATACCTGACAAGAACAACTTAGAGAAAGAAAGTTATATTTGAGTTCATGGTTTCAGAGGTTTCAGTCCAGTCAGACAACTCCATTGCTCTAGGCTTAAAGTAAGACAGAACATAATGACAGAAGGGGTTGGCAAAGTAAAGCAGAGACAGCATGAGGAGCCAAGGACAAGATACGCCTCCAAAGGTATGCTCTTCAGTAGCCTACTTCCTGCAGCTGCAGTCCACCTGTCTATGGTAACCACCCAGTAAATGATTCAAATTATTAATCCATTCAATGAACCGATTCACTGATTAGGTCATGGCTTCCATTTTATCCCTAAACATTCCTGCAGTGTCTAACATGAGCTTTTTGAGGAGATGACTTGCACCCAAACCATAACATTCTGCCCCGGGGCCCCCCAAAACTCATTTCCAATTCACAGTGCAAAACGCATTCAGTCAACCTCCAAGAGTCCCTATAGTCTTAATAAACAGTTCCAACATTGTTCAAAAGTTGTTCTAAGCAAATTCTTGGTTGTGAGCCCCTATTAAAAAGTTAAAAAAAAAAAAGATTTAAAAAGCGAATTACACACTTCCAATATATAATGGCACAGAGTTAACAATCCCATTCCAAAGGGAAGAAATAGGGGCATATAAAGAAGGAACGGCACCAATGCAAGACTGAAACACATCTGGGCAAAGAAGCCCAGCATCTGGGATACATGGTGGGGAGATGCAATCTCTAAAGGGCCTGGGCAGCCCCACCTCGTCAGCCTTGCAGGATATAACCCATATGGCCTCTCTCTGTCAGCAGCCAGCACTTTTCTTCAACAGAAGTTCCACATTACTGGCATCTTTTAATTCTAGGTTTTAATTCCACTGTTGCTTCAGCTTTCTTCCCAAAGCTTCACAGTTATCTCCCTCTCAGGAGCTGCCCATAGGGATTCCAACCCTCAATTCTCTTCGCCTCTCAGGTATTCCTTCGAAAAATCAGAGGAAGCCTTAACAACCCCTTAGCTCCAGCATCCCATCCTGCATTCTTGCAGAACCAGCATTCCTGCCACCAGCTCAAGCAGTAGCCAGGTCCCCTTGGACCATGGCTCCTCTGAGTGCCTAGGGAGCAGAGCATGGTGAAATGAATCTTGGGGAAATAACTTTCTAGACAACCCTGTGCAAGACCCTATCCCAAGGTCTCTTCTCAAAGGAAGTTTCATTTTTATACCCTTGAGTCTATTATAGCTAGGGTCTTCCTGATTCCTGAGATATCCTCAAGGCATCTTTCCTATTGTCTCTGTGTAAAGTACTTAGCTTCTCTTTAGTAGTGGTGATCTTTTCAGCCACCACATCTTCCTTGACCCATCTTACATGGTCTTTTCTAGTCAAACTGCAAGTTTTTAAAATCTTTATCCTCTGCTTTCTGCTCCCAATTCTCACAGGACACAAGGCTAAAAGGCACCAGCAATACCCATGTCACTGCCTGAATGCAGTGCTGCCTTGAAATTTCCTCCTTCAGATTAATTAGTCCATCACCTTTAAATTGAGCCTCATAGAAATTCTCATGACATGGGCAAAATGTGCGCAAGTCCTGTGCCAGAATATAAAACAATTAGCCTCTAATTCCCCATGAAAACCTTGATCCTCTCTGAAATCTCATCAGCACAATTTTTATTGTCCACATTCTTATCAGCATTCTGATCTTCTGAGCTCCCATCAAAACTCCCATTAGCTCTGCTTACAACATTCTATGGCTTCTCTAGCCTGCATATTCAAACTTTTCAAAAGTCCTCCCAGAAATCAGTTCCAAAAGTTTCTAAACTATATGGTCAGGTTAGTCACAGCAATATCCCCACTCCTGCTACCACTTTTTGTGTTAGTGGGTTTTGTGTCATGGTGCTCAAAATACCTGACAAAAACAACTTAAAAGGGCATATTTGGGCTCACAGTTTCAGAGGTTCAGTCCATGGTGGGCCGACTCCATTGCTCTGGGCCTAAGATGAAGCAGAACATCGTGGTAGAAGTACATGGCAGAGGAAGGCTGCTCAGGCCATAGTAGCAATGAAGCAAAGAGAAAGTACAAGGATCTAGAGATAAGATATATAACCTCCAAGGTTACTCCCCCATTGAATTACAAACTACAGTCTCTCCCCACTGCCTACAGTTACCACCCAATGATCCATTCAAATCAAATAGATTAATCCACTCATTAAATTACAGCTCTCATAATGTAGTCATTTTACTCTAAAAATTCCTGCATTATCTAACAGAAGCTCTTTGGGGAGACACCTCATATCCAAACCATAATAGTTAAACTGTTGGCAAAATCTACTTCTCTACAGTTACAGGTGTGCAGTCTCTTTCTAGCTGGCATCTAAGGGCCCCTGACAGGTCCTGAAGGCCACCTAATTCCTTCTCACATAGTCCAGCAAATGGCATCTCCCCATGTTTTGAATCTTTTTGTCTTCTTCTTCTTCTCAACCAGAGAAAGCACTGCTTCTGACAGTTCTTGTAGTTAAATTTGAATACTCTCCCTATCTAAAAGTCACTGTACCACATAACATAATCACAGAAGTGACATCTCATCATTTTCACAGGTTCCTGGGATTAGAGCACAACAACACTCAAAGGCCATTTTAGACATTCTGCCTACTATGATGTCTCTGAGAATTAACATTCAAAGGTGATAAATTAAGGATTTTTAAAAAATCATATGCATATGTGTATTGATTATATATATATATATATATATATATATATATATATATATATATATATATATATATGCATTTTTAGTTTTGGTCTCATGGGATTATACATATGATATATGATAGCCATTCTCTAAGACTGACCCAGTGACCGTCACCTTTTTGTATTCATGACCTTTTATAGTCCCCTCCCACACTGTATCAGGTTTATCCTCGAACACAATAGAAATGATGGTATGTGACTTCCATGGCTAGGTCATAAGATACACTATCATTTCTATCTTACTCCCTTGGATCATGTTCTATGGGGAAAGTCAGCTGTCACATCATTAAGACCCTCAAGCAGTCCCATGGAGAGATTCACATGACAAAGAAGTGCCAAAAACCAGAACCAGCTTTCCAGCTATATAAGTGAGCCATCTTGAAAACAGTTTCCCCAGCTCCAGTCAAGTTTTCAGATAACTTCAGCCTCAGTGAATATCTTCACTGCAATCCCATGAGAGACCAAGACCACAAACACCTCATTAAGCTATTCCCAAATTCCTGACTCACAGAAACTGTCTGAGATACTACTTATTATTGTTTTAGTCACTAAGCTTTGGGATGACTTGTTAAACAATATATAACAAAAATATATAGATATAAATATATAAATATTAGAGGAATACGATTTTAAAAAAATAAAAAAATTCTAAAATGAAAGAATTGCAAATACCCATTAATATAAAAATCAAATAAGTAGAAAAATCAATTTCTTAAACGTACTATTTTAATAATTAAAAAAAATAAATGGAATACAAATAAAAATACTCAAAAATAAATACTGTTCCCTGGAATTGCAATAACATTAAAAGTTCCTTATAGGGGCTGGGGATGTGGCTCAAGCGGTAGCATGCTCACCTGGCATGCGCGGGGTGCTGGGTTCAATCCTCAACACCACATAAAAATAAAATAAAGATGTTGTGTCCACCGAAAACTAAAATAAATAAATAAATAAATATATTTTTTTTTTAAAGTTCCTTATAAAGCTAGGCTACTCCAGGGTCATGCTCGCCTGGCATGCTTGCGGCCCAGGTTCGATCCTCAGCACCACATACAAACGAAGATGTTGTGTCCACCGAAAACTAGAAAATAAATATTGAAAAATTCTCTCTCTCTCTCTCTAACTCTCTTTTAAAAAAAAAAAAAAAGAAAAGAACTGGTACTATTAAAATGTCCTCAACTTCATAACATTTCTCTTAAAGAGTAGGGCCTAATTTTACTTTCCCTGAATATGGGCTGGACTTAAAGATTCACTTCTAATGAAAGAATAAAACAGAAGTAGTGGTGTGTAACTTCCAAAGTTATATCACTAAAGGTACCAACACTTATACCTTGCATTCTTTGGACTACTCTCCCTGGGGGAATTCAGTCATCATGTCATAAGGAGACTGTGGAGAGGCTGCAAGGGGAAAAACTAGAGTCTTCTACCAAAAACCAACACCAGCCAGCCAAGCATGTAAGTGAGGCCCCAAGAAACAAATCCTCCTGCCCCAAACAAGCCTCAGATGACTACATCCCTTGGCAAGATACCAAAGAGCTAAGCCATTCCCAAAGAAACTGAAAAGTAAATAAGTGTTTACTGTTTCAAGCTACTTGGTTTTAGGATAATTTGTCATGCATATTAATTAATAACCTATCACTTCCTAGAACTAAGTTTTATTTGCAACAGGAAGTAAAAATAACTCATTTGAGCTTAGTGTTATTTGCTAAAATGTTAATAAAATTTCAGATTTTCCTTTCTAATATGCTACGTAGTGATTCTTTTTTAATTCCCTCAAATTGTTGCATAATACTATTTCATAGTATTCTTCACTTTCTAAGTTGATTCACAGAAACAGAAACCTAAACAGATTTTAGTCAGCAATGATATTTTTTAAAACCTTTGTTTGTTGAGCAACTACACCAGGTACTAAATGGAGAACTATACCCTTAATTCATATTAATGTTCATAAAATTACTTATTTACGTACTGGAGGTTAAACACAGGCTGCTTTACTACTGAGCTACATCCCTAGCCCTCCTTTTTTTTTTTTAGTTTTGAGAAATGGTCTCTCTAAACTGAGAAGGCTGGCCTTGAATTTGTGATCCTCTTTCCTTAGCCTCCCAAGTAGCTGGGATTGGAGGCATTCAACTATGCCCAGCTGAAATTATTTATATATTTTAACTAAACTTGTTCCTCATGGTCCTGAAGATTATAAATCAATAGAAGGTATATAAAGCTTTTACTTTACCTCTGTGAGGGATCCACAAGGCACACCACCACGTAGGGCTTCATCCAAAGCAGAAAGGGTAGTAGATAAGAATGCTGGTGAGAGATCAGTAGACCTTTGTGTCTTTATCCCATAAGCCTGAACAACAATCAAAAAAATGATTAAATTCTTTTCAGCCTCCATATCTACTCAAAAATATAAGTCAACTCCTAACTTCTTAACTTTAGAAGCTAAAACCCAATCCATCTTTTTCCCCTTTATTATTTATTTGTTCAACAAGTAATTACTCCATGCCAGAGACTGTGCTAGATTATGGAGATGCGATTTTACAGAGGGATTATGAATCTGGAACTAGAAATGGGCAATTGCAATACAATTATTAAGAGACAGTGTATTAGGGAAAAGGGAGACATAGAAACAGTAAAACTAATCTGGACCTTGTAATCTACAAAGGTTTCACTGAAGTGCTGTATGACTGAGCTGAAATCTGATATATTTTGTTTTATTTCTCTATTAGATGAGCAAAAGAAATGTGAATGTTTCTGGTAAACAGGATGTACAAAATTCAAGCAATAAAGATTGGAAAATGTAAACAAAATAAAACTAAAAAAAATTTTTAAAGTTCATTTAGCTGAAAGAGTGAGGCTGAGAGCAGCAAGTGATGAGGCTGGAGAAGGAACTGGGCTTAACCACGAAGAGCTCTGTAGAAGTTTGGAATTCATGCTGAGAGCAACCAGGAACAACATGACCAAGTTATCATTTCAAACTCAAGTTGTTTTGTGAAGAACAGCTAAAGGGAGGTTCCTAGGCTAAGAAATATCCATATCAAATCCCTGGAACCGGTCTGTGAATGTTACTTTATTGGAAAAAAGGCCTCTGTAAATGTGATTTACTTAAAGACTTCATGATGAGAAGATAATACTGAATTATCTGGGTAGACCCTAAATGCCATCACAAGTATCCTTATGAGAGAGGAAGAAATTCGATATATAGAGGAAAAAGCAATGTAAAGATGGACCAGACAAGGAGTAGCCACAAGCCAATAATGCCAACACTCCTTGGAGGCTGGAAGAGGCAAGGAATGGATCTCCCTAGAGCATCAGGAGAGACAGCAGCTCTGTCTGTACCTTTGGCCTCCAGAACTATGAGAGAATAACTTCCTCTTGTTTGACATCAACAGCCTGAGGTAATTTGTGTTAGAGCCACCACTAAGAAAATAATACATCAAATTATCACTTTGAAAAGATACACAGGTTGGTTTAAAAGAGTAGCTTGAAGGTGGCTAATACTGGAAGTTGGGAGATCTGTCAGAAAGATAGTTTGCAACCATTAGAAAGAAAAATAATGGTGGCTCAAGGAGGGTATTAGCAATGGGGATAAAAAATTGCGGGTACTAGTAAATCTATCTAAAATAAACTATAGAGTATGTCTGAAGGGTTTTTTCCTTTTATATAATAAAATTCTGAAATTATTCTGTTTTCATTTTCAAAACATCAAAAATGAGTATATTTTTTAAAGTGAGTGTATTTAACCATACTAAGTTCACAATAGAATAAGTGGGTGAATAGAATAATTCATTTTATGACATGTTTAATGAACTGCAACAGAGAAAGTTGGACAAAAGGAGGCAGAGAAATTTTATCTTGTAAAAATTACAATCAGAGGCTCCATAATCATCTGGCATCTGCTCAATGTTCTATCTATAGTTAGAAATGTACATGATAGAAACTCTAGTGATTCAGATTCATCCTTTAAGGTCATGGTCAACTGTGGCCACAATGTAATACTTGTGCTGAGTTGTTCTCTGTACTAAGCAGTCATCTGCATAGTTTTCTTTGTATGTGCATGGCAATGGTTCAAATTATGGATCATTGGTGAGCTTTAAAGCCATTTAATGCTTCTGCCCCCATTTCTCAATTTCAATCATTACACAATTGGTTGTACATAGGATCGACTTGACATACAGATAGTCCACCACTGACTGCAGAAAGTCCAGTCTGGCTGTAACGGAAAAGGTAATAAGCCCCGTATCAACCTGGATATGGCATGGTGGGCCCTGCTATGTGTTTTATTGGAAGAATATTCTCTTTCCTTCAGTTCACTAGGATCTTTCTTTTCTTTCTTTTTAGGCTTCAATCTCTCCTTTTCTTTAAGACTCTCATCTGAGACAAAACATTCACATTCAGCAAAGTTCCTTGCTTTCTTTTCCATCCCCATATCCACACTGCACAATGTTTCCTCTGAGATCCTTTCTTATCTCAGGAATACATCCACAAGAAACTATACAAAGAATTTTGGTGATTTCATTTGTTGGTTTGGATAATTTGGATGTACTCAGAATAATAAAATTTTAACACTCCGCAAGGACAATTGTTTTTTAAATTATTTTTTTTGATTCAGGGTCTTGCTTTGTTGCCCAGACCTAGCCTCAAACTCATGATCCTCCTGCCTCAGCCTCTTAGCTGAGATTATAGGCACACACTATCATGCCCAGCTTTAAATAACTTCTATTAATTTTCTGGGGCATTAAAATTTTACCTGACTTTAAAGGATGTTTATTTTTCTAACATTTCATCAAAAAGAACTTTTGATGGGGCTGGGGCTGAAGCTTAGTGGTAGAGCTCTTGCCTTGCAGGTGTGAGGCCCTGGGTTCAATCATCAGCACCTCATAAAAATAAATAAACAAATAAAGATATTGTATCCATCTACAACTAAAAAAATTTTTAAAAGAGATTCTGAGAAAATCTTTTTTTTATAATAGTCTCTTTTTTTAAATTTATTTTTAGTTGTAGTTGGACACAATACCTTTATTTTATTTATTTTTATGTGGTGCTGAAGATCGAACCTAGCGTCTCACACGTGCTAGGCAAGCACTCTACCACTAAGCCACAACCCCAGCCCCTGTAACAGTATTTTTTATATTTCAGTTTAGTTTTGCCTTCTCCTGGGCAAAATTATACAAATAGTCACTACCCTAGAATATGGAGCAAATGATGTCAGACCCTCTCAGATAATGCTGATTCAGGAATTAAAGAAAACAAAGGGAAAAAATGAGGATGGAACAAGGTAATAAACATTTATTGAACATCTAGCATTGCTATATTAAGTACTTTACATATATTATTTAATTTAATCCTCACAACCCTACACGTAGGTACCCTATATATACACTACACATAAGTATAATTATCTCCAGAATAAGAAATGGAGGGGCTGGGTTGTGGCTCAGTGGTACAGCGCTTGCCTGGCATGTGTGAAGCACTGGGTTTGATTCTCAGCACCACATATAAATAAATAAAGGTCCATTAACAACTAAAAGAAAAAAATTTTTTAAAAAAATGGAAACTGAGAGGTTTGCCAACAATTACTTTAAGAGGGTGTGATAATCAGCTTTTCATCTTTGTGACCAAAATACCTGCTAAGAACAACTTAATGAAGGAAAGTTTATTTTTGACTCCCAGTTTCAGAGATTCAGTCCATGGTTGAATATTCCTAACAGCTCAGACCATGGTCTGACTTCATTGCTTTGAGCCCAAGGTGAAGCGAACCATCTGGCAGAAGGGCATGGGGGTGGAAAGCTACTTACCTCATGGTGGCTGAGAAGCAGAGAGAGCAAGGGGAGGGGTCCCAGAGAAAAGGGATCCTTCTGGGGCACACCACAGTGACCCACCTCCTCCAGCCATACCGTACCTGCCTACAATTACCAAGTTAGTCCATTCAATCTGCCTAGGATACACTGATTAGGTTATAGTTCTCACAATCCAATAATTTCACCTCTGAATATTCCTGTATTAGCACAGAAGCTTTTGGAGAACATCTTATATCCAAACTATTACTGTGCACACAAGAATTGTTACTGGTCTTTTTTTTTTTTTTTCCTTTTCCTAATTACAGACCATAACATATCTTAGCAATTTAGAATTAAAAAAAAAAAGTTAAAGAGCCAATAACAAAATTCTGAAATAACTACTATTAACATTATAGTATATATATAACTATGCATATATGCTTTTAAACTTTCATTTTTACAAAACTGGTATGTACACTATAAACAATTTCAGAGCCTCCTTTTTCACAAAGCATTTATATCCTAAGCATTTCTCCTGTTATTAAAAATTCTTCAAAAATTTTAATTCTTACATATTATCTCATCACATAAATATAGGAAAATTTATCTTCTTCCTTTTTACTGATGATTTGTTTCCCAAAGGCATAGATGGAGGTTTACTTAGGAAAGTAGACATACATTCAGTTAGAACAGGATAGGGGACAACCTCAAGGTTTCCATTTTTTGATGTAAGAAACATTTCAGTGGGTGCATGCTTCCATAGACTTTTTGCCTATAATCTGGCAACATAGGTGCACATGGGGACACTTCATCAACATGAGAAGGCAGTTCAATCTGTCAACATTAAAGTACTTCACTTATAATCATAAGTGTAAGTTCTAGAATAAAGTTTGTGATTATCGGAAAAACAAAAACAAGCTGAACTAATAGAACAAGGCTTCATAAATAGTATGTAAACAAATGAGACAAAAAATAATTTTGTGACATGAAATTACACTACTTTTTCTTTTTGGATTTGTTTTGCTATTTTTTTGTTGTTGTTGTTTGGTTTTGGGGTTTTGCCATACCGGGGATTGAACTCAGGGGTGCTCTACCACTGAGCTACACCTTTAGCCCCTTTCATTTTTTATTTTGAGACATGATCTCACTAAGTTGCTGAGACTGGAACTCAAGATCCTCCTGCCTCAGCCTCCCAAGTAGCTAGAATTATAGGGTGCTTCACCACACTTAATACACTACTTTTTCTTCTATTTTGGTAATTGCTTCTTCTCTAATCTGACTTATAAATATTGGCATCACTCAGGAATTAGTCTTAGGTACACTTATCTTCTTATTATATGTACTTTTCAGGCAATATTCACCCACATCCAGGGCTTTAACTGTGATGTTTATACTTATGATTCCCAAATGCACAGTTCTAATGCTCATCTCTCTTCAAAGTCCAAATCCATATACTTTTCTGCCTACTTCATATCTCCACTAAATGTTTCACAATTGCCTTAAATTAGATAAGAACTAAACTGAATTCATGATCTCTGTCCCTCAAATCTGCTCCTGTTCCAGTATTCCATATTTCAGGAAATGGTACTACCCAGTTCCTTAAAGCAAAAATCAGGGAATCATCTCTGACATTTTCCCATAATTTCCCACCACCCACAATTGCCAAATCTTATAAATTCCATCTCCTAAATATCTCTCATATTAATCAACCTTATACCCTCTACTTAATACCACACTAACAATCCTAGTCACAATCACTTTCTGTCAGAATATAATAACAAATACCTAGCTAGTCTTCCTGAATATTTTCTTGCTCCTTTTTAATCACTTATCTGAATTAAAAACTGATTATTTAAAAACACACTTTAGATTATAGCCTTTTATGACTTCCCATTACTCTTGGAATAATGTCCAAAATCTTTAACATGGTCTTCAAGGCACTAACAATCTGATTCCTGCTTACTTGCTTTTAGCTTAAGTGTTGCTTCCTTAGTAAGTCCTCCTGTTATGGTTTGAATATGTGTTCCCAAAAAACTCATATGTGAGACAGTACAAAAGTTTTAGACGTAAAACAATTAGATTATGAGAGCTAAAACCTGATCACTGATTAATCCACTGATACGGATTATCTGAGTGGTAAATGCAGGCAGGCAGGGTATGGCTGGAGAAAGTAGGTAACTGGGGGTATGCATTGGAGGTTTATATTTTGTCCTTGGTGAGCAGGTTTCTCTCTGCTTCATGGCCATCATATCCTGAGCTGCTTCCCTCTGCCACACCCTTTTGCCACAATGTTCTGCCTAATCTTAGGCCCGGAGCTATGGAGTCAGCCAAACATGGGCTGAAGCTCTGAAATCATGAGCCAAATTAAACTTTTCCTCCTCTATACTGTTCTTGTCAGGTCTTTTGACCACAGCAATAATGAAAAGCTAACTAAAACACCTCCTGACTTCAAACTAAGTAATGTCCCTTGTTATTTTCAAAGCTCTTCATACTTTTCCTTGCACTACTATAATTATTTCCATAATTGTTTAAGGTCTGACTTCCCCATCCAGACTGTAAGCTATATGAGAGTAGGAACTTTATCAATCTTGTTCACTAGGACATTGCCAGTACCTAGCAAAGTACCTGGCACATGGTTGGCACTTAGTAAATAGTTTGTTTTAAAAAATAAATGAACAAATGAACAACAAAAAAAAAACTTTCTTGAATGAATGAACTAAAGCTAAGTTAATATGTAAGGCAGTACTCAAACATAAAGAATACTACAAGAGTAGGTACAAACCAAAGGAAAAATATTACTTCTAGCATTGTATTTGGTGAGATTGCACATGCAAGTGTTGCTGCAAGTTGAAACCAAAGTTGAATTTCCTCCCCATGTTTATTTAACTCCTTAGTTAGAAATTAGCCATGGGTGCATACACATGTGTGTGTATGTACTTTTTTTTTTTTTTTTGGTACACAGGGGTACTTGACCACTGAGCCACATCTCCAGTCCTTTTTATTTTTTATTTTGAGATAGGGTCTCACTAAGTTACTGAGGCTGGGCTTGAACTTGAGATCCTTCTGCCTCAGCCTTCCAAGCCACTGGGATTACAGTGTGCAAAGCCTTAGATATTTACCATTTAAAATGACAGAAGTCAAATTAAAAGGTTTCCCTGGTTCTTTATAACTTTGAATATAGTAACAACTTAATTTGAATTTAGTCACAAAATCAACATGTACTTTTTAAAACTTTCTACCTTCTCATATAAAACAAAGACAGCTTGTGGTATGGAACATAAATGTTCCCCAAGGGCCCATCTGCTAAAGGCTGGGTCACCAGACTGTGGAGCTATTCAGAAGTAGTGGAACCTCTGGGAGGTAAGCCCTACTAAAGGAAGCTGGGTCACTGCAGGCTTGCCATTCACTGAAGGGGATGTTAGGACATTTTGTCTCTTTGCTTTCCAGCCACCAGGAGGTGAGCAGCTCTGCTCTATCACACACTCCCCACCATAATGTTCTGCCTGGAAAAAGGCCTAAAAACAAAAGAACCAACTAATCTTGGACTGAAACCCCTGAAACCATGAGCCTAAATGAACCTTTCCTCCTTATATGTTTATGTCAGATACTTTGTCACAGCCATAGAAAGCTAACAGAGCTGTTCAAAGCAATGAAATCATTGATAAACCAAGACTAGTACCTAATTCTGATTTCTAATTCTGATTCTAATTCTCCTTCGGACTATCCCATCTGTAAGGTCCTTAGGTCACAAGCTAAATGTGAACTAAGGAAAATATCTGTAGTTCAGATAACTCATTGTTTTTAGAAGTTTCAAATGAAACTAACATTCCAGCTTTCTTTCCTTTTTTAGGAAATTGTACCCTACTTTATTGAATGGTTACCAAATTTCAAAATAAGATAATAGATAAGGTAAATAAATTGCAATCCATACAAATAAATACATCTGCAAACAGAACCGACTTTTAGGCAACTCTTGTTCTGAGAAAACAAGATCTTTCCACTGTGTTCAAAATCTACATTCTGAAAAGCTACAGTTACAAAACAAAAAGCATTAAAAAAAAAAAAAAAAGTACATTTTGATGAGGGCTTATTATAAAGAACTTCAGCTTTTCCCAAGAGTAAGGATAACATTTTGGACATTATTTGTTCAGTTAATAAGCAAGTATATGTATTTTATGATATGGAGTATGTAATGATGGTAAAAGTTAAGTATGACAGAGAAAAAAGGACATTCAAAAATTGAGTATGTTATAATTTAACCACAAAGTCCTCAAATCTTACCCAAATAAATGACAAATAAAGATGACCTTTTGAAATACCACTATTAGCTGCAGAAAAAAGAAAACTTCCTGTTGCTCCCTAATTCCTACATTTAGGAATTGTCTCGTATGATTTTATAAACCTCATAAATTTTTCACATGTATTCTCATTAGAGGACTAACATTATGGTAAGATACTTGATACTTCTGAAGTACTCATCTCTACTTTTGCTTCATCCAAAAAAAAATTTTAAATGAGACAAAGAATCATTGCATAATCAAATCAAAAAATAGATGATACCGTTTGCATTTGTGGGGCACAGGCCCTGCTGACCATACGCAGAAGTTCATGGACACCTCGGTAACTCAGGCCAGTTACCTTCATAAGTTCCAGTGGGGAAAGACATAAAAAGTCCTAAAGAGACAAAGAGAATATTTTAAACACAAATGTGAAACAAGGATATTGGAATAAAAGGAAATTTTCAATTGACATTGCCCATATGTAGATAAAAATGTAATTATTTGCAGATCAAAGATTTATGCATTCTTTCTTCTTTGCTGTGCTAGGGATTGAACCTAGGGCCTCACACATGCTAGGCAAATGCTCTACCACTGAACCACACCCCAGCCCTATGCATTTTTTTATTGTATTTTTCCCCTAAACATGCCTTAACTAAAAATATGATGACATAATCTTATATTCTAATTATTAGTTCAATCAGCATATATCAGAAGACATACCAGGCAACATTACATAGCAGTAGCATCCAATTCAGGTTTATATGAACACTGCACTTGTACCAGAAAGAATCTGGGCCTATACCAGAAAGAATCTGGTGCATATTTGTATGCACCCCGAAAATGTCAGGTTGCAATGTATTTTTGGGGGTACACTTCAGTGGCAGAGCACTTGCCTAGCATGCATGTGGCCCCAAATTTGATCCTAAGTACTGAAAAAATAAAAGGTGTTTATTTCTAATTTAAAGTTTACTCAGATAAAGTATTTGATAATTGAGAGAAAATAGAGCTGAATGTGGAATGTTAAATTTCATACTTTTTAGAGCATTCTGAAATATGAACAAGAGGATTATTAAATGTATAATGGAGGAACCACAGATGCACTTAACATACCAACTGATTCAAAAAGAATCAAGTATGCTCTGATATCTATCTTGTTAAGGATAAAATCCTAAAATAAATCAATAAACTTTTTCCCCCCTCCTGAAAGGAAATTATTTCATTACAGTGCTTATTAAAAATGCAATATTTGCTCTATGTATTTCTCAGCCTTCATTAATAATAGTACTAAAAATTAGTTGTAACTATTAATTTCTCTTCCAAGAGAAATTTCCCATGTTGAATACCATCTCCTAATTTGAGTAGAATTTCTTATGTAACTACAAAAAGTAGATAAAAATTTCTGTACAGCCCCAAATAAATGGTATGAGTATATTTCACCTTACATCCCCTAAAATGCAAAAATATTAAATTTCAGTAAATGAAATTACATTTGGAAATGCAACCTAAGTGGCTTATGGAAAAGCACCATCATTCAACTTTTTTTTGGGGGGATGGGGGGGAAAGATGTGGGGGCAAACCTAAGTTTTTATGTTCCAGGTTTAAGAATTATCAAAGTGGACTGGGGTTTTGACTCAGAGGTGGAGTGCTTGCCTAGCACGAGTGAGGCGCTGGGTTCAATCCTCAGCACCACATAAAAATAAATAAATTAAATAGAGGCATTGTGTCCATCTACAACTTAAAAAAATTTAAAATAAAACAAAGGATCATGGCTAAGGTGATTAGCCATTAAAGAAAAAAGAATTATTAAAGTATATTTACTTAAAGTTAATTGGGCATAAAATCTCTTAACGAAAAAAAATTAACTATTAAGTTTTACCTGACAGGTAACAATCTGATGTCTGCTCAGACGGTCACACAGCTCTTGAGTTAAACCCACTCGTCTTAGTTTCTTGCTACCCATGCTTCCAGATCCAGCAAAGAAAAGAAGAACCTTGAAAAGAACATCAGAAAATAATATACATGATAGTGGATGGGCTTTCCAAAACACTTTATAAAATAAAAATTTTTTCAAGTTTCTCCATGTGCAAAATGAAACGTGATATGTAATTGATTAAGAAAGAAAAAATGATGGCTTTAAAGAGGAGGAAACACCTATTTATTCAACACACAAAACAAGACAACCTCAGAATGTGCATTTCACACAATTCTTTGATATTTATTCCATAAATATTGTTATATATTTCATAATTATATAGCATCTTAAGATTGTCAGGATATTTATAGTTTATTTGGATATGTAATTAATTCAAGGCATATATCCAAACAGCACCCCTAGAAGTCTTTATTTTTATTGCACTATAACAATAACAGCTAAATTTATTGAGTACCTCCTTTATGCCAGGCACTGTTCCAAAAGCTTTACCTTAATTATCACATATAACATTTTCAAAAGGCCTAAAAGGAAAGTAGATTATTGGACCCTCTTTTACATATGAGAAAACTAAACTGGAAATGTCTGCTAACAGAAAAAGTAAATGATAGGGCTGGAGTTGTGGCTCAGTGGTAGAGCGCTTGCCTAGCATGTGTGATGCACTACGTTTGATTCTCAGCACCACATATAAGCAAATAAATAAATAAAGGTCCATCAATAACTAATAAAAATATTTTTTAAAAAAAGTAAATGGTGGATTCAGAACCCAGCAATCTGACTCTGAGGCCTATCTTCTTTGTGTGTGTGTGGGGGGGGGGGGGCTGAACTCAGGGGCACTCGACCACTGAGCCACATCCCCAGCCCTATTTTGTATTTTACTTAGAGACAGGGTCTCACTGAATTGCTAAGTGCCTCACTTTTGCTGAGGCTGGCTTTGAACTTGTGATCCTCCTGCCTCAGCCTTCTGAGCCACTGGGATTACAGGCATGCGCCACTGTACCGGACTGAAACCTATCTTCTTAATCATTACACCCTACTGCAAGTCCAGAATCATATTAAACCTTCCTTTTTTCTAGGAGCCAGAACAAACCAGAATCAAATGAGATTTATTATGGTTATTATCTATAAATCAAAATTGTTCTTTATTATAACAGCTGCTTATAATATCAATGCAATTAAATTTCATTCTTGTTATACCTTGCTGAGAGCAAATGAGGCTCATGAAATGTTTGTTTTTGGAGAGCTAGAACAGAATCATTATGACTTCCCTAACAATAATAATGCATACAAAGGAAAGGCTGTGTACCTCACCTGAGGTGGCAAAGCATTCTCTGAAAAGAGTAGAAATAGGAACTCATCATTGCTCCAGGGAAAAAAAGCAATATAATTATCAGTAATATTTTGGAACACATTCCACAAAGATAAAATATATGATCCTCATTTTCTAATGGGAATTTCTTAGTATTGATTTGTTTTCCTCAATAGAAAGTTTACAAAGTGACATCTACCTGCTAGATTATTGTTTAGTATCTTTTCAGATCAGGTAGTTCCAGGCAATAATACCATTTAGACTGATAAATTCAGTGGGTCAAAAATAGAACAACCACCAAAAAAGTAACCCCCAAACTACAGAGATTTTTAATAATAACCAATCTGCTAACTTTGTTTTAACAAGGCCTGGACTACTGCATACTGTTTTTGGTCACTCCCCATTTTACCAAAAACAAAAACAAAGAAATAAAAAACATTCCATTCAATTTGTTCCTTCCACAGACACTTCTTAAGTACAAACTCTGCTGAACTCTGGGACAGAAGAATCATTCAGATAGATTTCCTCCCTTTTGGGTACACACAGTGGAGAAATGCAAAGAGATGTACGTATACACAAATAACCACAGTCATGCAGTAAGTGTTGCTATTTAAGTGCTATGGGAGCTGATCGGAAAAAATCGCCAATGGGCCTGAAAAAGTTAGGTCAGTGTCACAGTCTTGCCAGTTTTCTAAAAACTTACTTTTATCCATTAAAACATCCCACAGGCACATCAGGCCACAGAATAAATTCCATACTTCTTAGGATCATATTTTTAAAACTTTAAAGGTGGGTCCTGTACGTTCATTCACACATCAAATTGCAAGGCTCATATCCTGTCCTTCCTGGAAAAAGTTACTTACCTGCCAGTATATTGGCTACCTCATCTGTAAAACTGAGGTAACTTTAATATCAACTTCATAGGATAGCAGCAAGGGGTTAAAAGACTTAGGTTGTGGCTGGCACACAGCGCTCGGTTCATTCAGCAAACATCATCTAACCTGCTCTCCAGCCAAAACGTTTCTTGGTAGGTTACTCAAGCACCCTCTAGCCTCCCTGACTTCCCTCCACAAGGGCTTCCCCAGAGTAGGACTCTTCCTCTCCAACATTTCCATCATACTTTGTACATATTTGTTTCATAATATTATTAAGGCATCTTTGTTTCTTCCTGCTGCGTACGTGTGTGCCCATCTATGCGTTTTGGAGGCGAGGAGAGAAACTTAAACCCCGAAAATTGAGCTCTTTCCACTCCGCCACCAAGAAAAATCCAGTTAGACGTTTAATGAAAACTGTGAAGTAACAATACTATCTGAAATTTGGATGTTTTACCTCATTTTACAGATAAGGCTATTGAGACACGAAGTTGAGAAACGCGCAAGTCAAACACCTAAACCATTGGTGGAGCCCGCCTCCGAATCCAGGAACGAGTCTATTATTCCAAGCTCTTCAACACCACCTGAAGTGAGACCGTCCCTGAACTTCCCCTAACGACAGGATTCCCTAGACCCCGATCTGTCTTAAGTGGTGATGGTATGTGTGCGCCTGGGAGAGGGGAGATGAAAACGTTACGGGAGGAAAAAGCTTTCTCCCACAAAGGGCACCTTCCAAGCATCCCCCCACCCCATCCCCGCAAAGGCCACCGGACCTGAAGCGGGATTCCCGTCAAGAGCCCTACCCAGCATCCACCCGGACAGCAATATCCACGGGCTCAGGAAGGGAACCGGAAATAATGAAAATACCCACTTCCCTACAACTGTTCTCCACAAGAAACTTTCCAGTTCCAAGTGTGCAGCTTCCAACTTTCAAAGATTCCCCCACTCTTCACACAGTTCCCCGCGGAAAGCGCCGCAGAACAACAACCGCAGCGCTGGTTGGTCGTCATCATGGCTATTTATCCAATCAGAGGCAAGCACAAGCCCAGGTGGCTCCGATGATTACTGGGAATTGTAGTTCTGATACCTAAATCTATGTATGAGCTACGAATCAGAGTCAATTTCTCATTATAGTGATCCTCAAAATCCGGTGTAGGAACATCACCAAGAGAGTGTGAAGCAAAGGAAACCTTGCTTGGAGTTTTCTATTTTCTTTCATGCACTATAACATTTAAAAATTGTTTAATGTACGAGAGAGGCATGTTTTCTGGGGGATAGATATCAATCTGCTCATCACAGAGAGTTTTTAGAAGAGGATCTTGTGTTTAATTTGCCCTTTTCAAAAATAGTTTGGGAACTGCTTATTGAAATTGCTCGAACTGAAAAACACACATTGGGGAAACCCATGGGTCTCTAGCTGAAAACAAACACAAAAGAAAGCAAACAGAAGGTTTGTGTAAATGCAGTCACAGTGAGGAAATCTAATATACCATTAAGACTTGATTTCAGAGTATTATTCGCAAAAAGCCTTTGTTCGTTCTTTGCTCTCCCCTGTGCAACTCCTCCATGCATACCTCGATTTTATAATTTAGACCACTGTAACCTAATTATTGTCCTGCATCCCTCCTTTGAGAAGAGGTATCTTGCCTCATTCGAGGGAAATGGACCTGGCACATTGTTCAATTAACGGTTGCTGAGAAAATGAGGAAATAAATAAATGGAGTGAAGCAGAAGAATATGAAAATTCAGACCACAGAGCTCTGGGATTATAAGAGAGCCCAAGTTGAATAATAATGGAGAATAGCCCTGGTATCCCTAGAGTCTAGCAAAGCATTGTCACTGGTTAGCACTAAACAAGTGTTGACTTCCAATGCTATGAAGAGCAGGGGAAAAAAATAGAGGAATATCAATTGTTCCTGCCACCTGCTCCACCGAAGGCAGAATTGAAAGTGTTGAGAGGAGGAGCTGTAATTGAGAGGGGCTGGTCCCTAGCCAAGCCAGCTGAATTAACTCTTTCCGAGCTTTCGCTACTGGTGAGATGGCATCACGTGACTCAAACATGGCACTAAATTTACGTCCTCCCTCCACTGAGCCAATAGGAATGCACTGTCAGCCGTCGTCACCGCCCACACCGCCTCTGTTCACAGAGGATCTGTCACCTGACTCGTCCCAAATATGGCTGCGCTGGAAGCTCTTTTGCTTTGGGCGCGGGGAGCAGGTGAGTACAAGGCGCCAGGGAGAAAGCAGGGCGCTCTCCAAGACCCGAGTAGTAAGTGTCCCTGCCTCCCTCACGCCCCTTCCCCCGCTAGCCCTCCACTTCAGGCTTTCGTCTCCTGGTCTTCAATCCTCTGGCTTAATTGAAGGCTCAAACGAGGGGAATTCCTGCTTAATTTTTCATCCTTGCCGCGGCGACCATCTGGGGATTTGGAGCCGGACTGGCACAGTGTTTAAGAGAGAATATGGAAGTCAAGTTATGGGTCGGACTCCGGGCTAATACGATGGTTAATATTATTAAATATAGGATCTTCATTGGTATCCACACTTTGGAGAACGTGGTAGGTCTTAAAAAGAGATGGTAACATCAAATTAAACTTAATAAGGAGAGTAATTCCCGCCTTTCCTAGTCGGGCCAGTAGTTGCTGGTTTAAATAGAGTTCCGTTTCTTCTCACTGTGGTACGTTGTTCCTAGGAGGTGCTCCACGAATGAGAAAATTGAGGATGTGTTCCGCCTAACTCATCTCTGTCTATCTCCCTGCACTCTGTGCTGGGAAAATGAATCATCCATTTGGAGAAGAAGAAACTGCTACCTTGAAACAGCTTTTGGGGTTTTTCTGTGAGTGCCTGCGGAGGGGAGAATGGGAGCTGGCACAGGCATGTGTACATCAGCTACACGAGGGGCACGGGGATATCCCAAAGAGGGTGGAAGACATACTTCGGGCACTGGTGCTGTGTCCAGATCTGCTGAGGTAAGGATCTCCCTTTTTGACAGGGAATTTCAGGATAGAAGACATATGGTTCAATATGTGGGCTTTGGTTAATGTGGTCCATTCGACTATCTTCTAAGAATTAGCAGAGCACAGTATATTTCACATACTCTGAAATTTTCCTAATATATGCCCATTACTTTTACCAATATAGTCCATTGGTTTGGGGTTATGATCTAGAACTGGATTTAAGCCTGGCCACCAAATTGTGCCTTAAACCACCATTTCTTGGCATATGTGCATTAAAAAGTATTTTCTTTACCTCCGAAAAGCAAATCCTGCTCTAGTCTAGATTTTGGTGTAGTTTTTCCCAGTTTCCACTAATTGTGCCATCTCATATAACTATAGTACAATATCAAAACCTGGAAATTGACACTGGTATATTACTGTTCACTAAAACCTGATTTGGTTTTCACCATTTTTTAAGTCTGTATTCATTTGTTATTGGTAATTCTATGCAATATTATCCATATTATCCCATAGTAATAAAGATACAGAACTATTGCATCACTGCAAAAGAATTTCCTCACCTCTTTTTATTTGCACTATAACCCTTCCTTGTCTCCATCCTAGATTTTTAATGAAGTTCTGCCTGATGGTGCTATTACTAGTGGTATAGGAATGAAATGTACTGTTTTTGTCTTTCCTTGGCTTGTCCTTACTTTAACCATTATTTACAGTATTGAAGTATTGTATTAGCACATAAAGAATAGAGAAACAAATGATCCTTTTCTTCCTCTATTTGTTTAGGATCTAGCTGGTTATTGTCTGCATTACTAATTTCAAAGAAAGGCTTATGAATTCCTAAAACTCTTTTGCATATAATTAAAAATAAATTTTTATGAACTTCCTTTTTTCTTTTATATTTGATTAATTGTTTATGTTTAAGAATATACTTTAGATAGAATTAGCTGTTGCAATTTTCTCTGTAATATTATATTTAAAAGTAAGACTAACTCACTGGGCACAGTGTCACACATCTATAATCCCAGCAACTCAGGAGGCTGAAATAGGCGGATCACAAATTGGAGGCCAGCCTCAGTAATTTAGCAATTTCCTAAACAACCTAGCGAGGCCCTAAGCAACATAGCAAGACCCTGTCTTAAAATTAAAAATAAAATGGGATGGGGTTGTAGCTCAGTGGTAAAGCACCCCTGGGTTCAATCCCCAGTACCAAATAAATAAATAAATAAGATTAAGTTGGCCATAGTGAAGAATGCCTTTCATCCCAGACACTCGGGAGACTCTCTTGGGCCCAGCCCAGGAATTGGACACTAGCCTGAATAATGTAGCAAGACCCTGTCTCAAAAAATAAAAATAAAAAAGATTGGGTAAAGAGGTAGAGGTTGGTTAGAGACTTTCAAGGAAGCTGCCAGCTCTATTCTAGGGTTTATGTTTTATTGAGCTACTATATATAACTGAAAAATTTTATTAGGACTTTCCTGTTCAGGCTTAAATGGACTTTCTGATTTATTAAAAACTAAATTTTGGATTACAAAAAGAGAAAGGGTCAGTAGAAACTCTGTTTTACAAAATTTTTCTTTTCACTTTATTCAGATGTGAGCAGGACATCAGCCCTCAAAGATTAGCCTGGCTCTGGCTACTAGTACTAGAAAAATGGTTGGCCCAGGAAAAGGTAAGAAAATTTACATTTAAATTTTCTCCGAAGGCATTCACTGAGAAGAACTTAGAAGTAGTTATGGGATTTTCCGTCTATTTGTTACTTCCTTTATTATAAAAGTGGTCATAATCTCTCTCAGTATTATCAGTGAGAGTTGTTTAAACTGTTATTGCTGTCTCCTTATCTAAATTCCTTCATTAATTCACTAACATACATTGGCATATAAAAGCCAATGATGATGCCATTTTTTTTAAATACCACTATGAGTCTTCTGCTTAAAGAGAACTTGGCAAAACTCAGTTAAAGTGTCAAGATAGCAAATAAAATAAGAACCCATACATTTGGATCTATTCAGCATTCAAGTATTAGAGAATGAGCTGAGCTGAAAATTGGTTTTTATACTAAAAATCTTTTCACTAGTCTAAAACAGTGAAATCTATGGATGTAAGCCCTGTTAGTAATTTAATAATGCATAAGAATTGAATTAAAATTTAACTAAATATAAAAATATAGCAAATTAATAGTGAAAGAAAACTGATAAGATAGTGCTTTCTTTTTTTTTTTTTTTTTTAAGGAAATCTTCCAAAATCTCTTTTAGAAGAGCTTATTATTAGAGATAGAGATCCATTGAAGGAATTTCTGTGAATCAATTTCATATTGAACCAGAAAATTTAAGATTTAAGTGAGGAGGCAGGCAAGGTGGTACATTCAAGTAGTCCCAGCCAGTCCCAGCCACTAAAGAGGCTGAGGTAGAATGATTGCTTGAGTCTAGGAACTAAAGGGCGTGGCAGCAAAACCCCATCTCAAAAAGAAAGGACAGGAAAGGAAAAAAAGAAAAAAGAAGGGATTGGTTGACTTAAGTGAGGAACCTTTGACATACCATATAGTTAATTGACAGAACTGGAGCTGAAACCAAGATCTGACTCCTAATCCTTTGCTTTTCATACTTTAACATTATTTTTTGGCCTACATGGAGTTAAAAGTGAGAACTTCTGTTTTTGAAATGTCTGTCATTTAGCCTAATTTTTCTTATTTTTACTCCCTCAGTCATGAGGATTAATTTTGTCTTTAATGGAACATTTATCCTTCACATAGCTGTCAGAAAGTAACAAATTGCTGATCTAAATGTATCGCTTACCCAGGTGTTGGCAAACTGCCTACTAAAGAGAAAAGACA